ATCAGCTTAGTGTCATAAAGTAGTCCATACAAACAATTGAGCATACTTCACTAAGAAAAGAACAGTAATTTATCCTGTGTATGCAAATTGAAATCACCCTCTCAAAAACCGGGGGCACTCCTCCCTGTATCTCCTTTCATCGCTTGTTCATTTCATCTAACTCCTGTGAATTCAGTCGATCCAAAAACTATATCCATTGAATAAACCCATAAAAAAACGAGAGAGATAGATTAAAAAAAAGAGGCAAAAGAGTGTAGCTCCTTAACGGCGTCGTCTTCATAGGTGCTGGTCACATCGACGTCGGTGATATCTCCTTCCATCTCCCCCTTCGTCGGAGATTTTACTACCATACACCTCATGCTCTTCTTCGTCCGTCTTCTTCTAATGTCCGATTGAGTCCGAATCTAAGCAGATTCAAAAGTAGCAGTTCCGATGAGCGATTGGAGTCGGTTCAAAACTAGCTCGGATGTAATCGTGATTGCACATGTGATTGCAAAATCTATGTGATTTTCGCTTCAAATCTATGCTTTTCGCTTCAAAATCTATGTGATTGCACATGGTGGAGGTTGCTGGAGGGGGAGCTAAAGGTTGAGGCACAGAGGGGCGGCGGAGGAAGGAAAAGGGGGAAACGTCTCTCGAAGGGATAAGATTTGTTAACTTGGAAAAATAAAGTGGGACTTCTCGACCTTAAAGCAAAATTCCTGATTTCCCTCTAAATTAGCTTTTTTTTCCCTCCGTTTTTATTTTCCAATTTTAAGTACTGTGTAATTCCCTCCAATCTAATATTTAGTTTTGGGCTTTTTCCTCCTTTTTTTTTTTTTTCAAAATGTTATACATACCTATCACCTATGTACTAAAATAAATATGATTTTTCCAAAAACATCCCGTTTGCTTAAATCTCAATTGTTTGACATAACAATTTTTTTTATATTAGTTATAATAGACGTATTACTGTTTAACTTTTAAGATATAACATAAATTAAAAAAATCTCGCAATCTCAAAATGATTCATTTGTTATATTCAAATAATGTCATAAAAAATTAATTTGAGGAAGAAATATTGTATGTATTTGAGAAATTCTTATTGGAACTGTATTATTAATAATCTATGTAGGTTAGAATTGTGTTGCTTCATATCACCAAACAATATTATTTTCAGAACTATATATAAAGAACTTGTTATAATACTCTCTCCGTGCCTCCAATATAACTATTCTACGGTAAATTGTAAATTGTGCTCCCTTCATCCGAAATTGTTATTCAGTTTGAGTTTTCATTTTTAGTTCAAATATTTTCATAAGTGAAAATACAATATGGACAACAATGTCGGGACACTGAGACTCTGATAGTACTTATTAAATAGAATTTACAATGATACAATGTAGACTATTTTTGTGAAACATATGAAATATTTTAACAGATTAAACTAATACAGTGAGACATATTGGATTTAGATGAGTTACACTCCATCTATCCCAAAATGATAACCCAATTAGGATTTTTAGTTTCATCAAAATCTGCATTAAAAATTAATATCTAAACTAGACAATCATTTCAAAACGGAAGGACAATATATATATATATATATAGAGAGAGAGATATATATATCAATTCTTGTTTAGAACTTAAACTCTTAACTATATAATCAACAACTATGTCTGCTGTAAAGAAAAAAGTCAAATCCAAACTATTGATATGTAAATACCTTCGTCATGATTTAAAAATACATATTGGAATCGGAGATCCATGTATTATTTAATAGTGGTACCTTTGATTACTGAAGAAACAAAACATATCATGGTTAAAATCTAATGGGTGAAAATATAAAATTCAAGGTGCCACACTATTATTATCTAAAATTTATTGGTACTAATATATATTATTTTAAGTATAGGGGTTACTATAAAAAGTTAAAGGTGTTAAAATACATTTGCTAAAAAACAGAAGCAACAATATGAATGTACAAAATAATCATCAACTAACCAAATAAATATGCAAGTAGTGCAATCAAACTCCAATTCTTAATTTTCAATAAAAAAAATTTGAGTTGAACAATATACTTATTTTATGATGGGACCTTTTAAAGCGTCCCATTAGATATAAGTATTGGAACGCTTATATTTATTGTGACATTTAAAAGTGTTTCATTAAACAATTTCTATGGACATTTTTAAACGTCCCAATATACTTATGATTAGGACACTTTTAAGTGTTGTACTCTCATATTGGGACGCATTTTGTGAGGACGTATACAAGTGTCCTGTTAAACTCATATATTGGGACACTTTTATAGAAAGGTCCCAATAGATTCATATTGGGACGCTTGTACTGAAAGCGTCCCAATAATTACGTCCTAATAGCCACATTTTGTTGTAGTGTCATTATTTGGTTGATTGTTTAAAGAAAAGAATAAAATGACACTAGTTTCTTATCTTATGGTGTTGAATTTTTCTTAAACTCTATCGGCTTTGGTATCAAGGATTAAAATTATTATTATATCTTAATTTTTAAATAAAGACCTTCTTATATGAATCGGAGTATTAAAAATGTCTTTTTTTTTTCTCACACGAATAGACATAACTTTTTTGAAAGAAGAATACCACAATTGAATTTTTTTTGAATTGCCATTGTCTGATTGCCACCTTAGAACCATGGTTTAACTTTTTTCCTAAACGAGAATGGGGGTACGGGTGAGAGAAAAGTGGATCATAATGTCGCGTGGATAAGGTTTTTCTTCTGTCTAATGAATTCATGAGTTTAACAACCTTTTTAGTTCTCTTCTCTATTATAGTTACCACATTTTTTTCGTTACAAATTTATTAATACTTGAAGGATCAATATCCAAATTTTTTCATATTAAGAATGATTCTCACAAATATACCTATGGGAACTATATCATGGTTTGTCATTTGATTACTATTTAGGCAGACACTCATCAAGCCTCTGCACCTCCTCATCCAACGAGGTTAAGGCTTCCTTTGTATCTGTGAAGGCATTACAAGGTTTAGCTTTTAATCTTGTCAAGGGTGTTGGGTTGACCCACTATTTTGGAGTCACCCACAGAGGTATACATCCTGGAAATACAGTCTTATGTTTCAATAATCGTGAGAATTATTGTGAGGATTATTGAGATGTCGTATGTATTAGGTTTATTCTATTTTTATTTTTAAATAAGCATTAGGCCTCTTGTCACATTCTGTATATTATGCGTCTATTAGATGAGTGAAATTTGTTACATTTGATAATTTCAATAAGACAGAAGCAAGGTATTTTGATTTTTCCCTTAAAACAAACTCAAGAGGTCATGATATAATCAAGCCAATCAATTCAATCATACAGAGCATTGTTATCCTCAAAATAAAAATATTGATGCCAGTTTTATCACGTTCGCGTTCAAGCTCACTAGTTGATCATAAATATGGGATCTCATGAGTAAGTACATATAAGTTGCATACATGCAGGAGATTTGCGTTCTTCGTCATAAAATATTTCACGATCCTGAGGTTTCGGGGGTTACAACATTAAAGAATGCAAATTATAGTCGGAAAAAAAAAAGGTATGCAAATTACAACCTGGTGGAATCAAAGAGGGGAATTTTAACATCACGTGGCCAGCTGCAAGTCCCGATCTCTCGGGAATTTTTCCTACCTAGTGAATCCGCAACATGCATTTAGTTCCAGATCTAATCAATCCCGATTCTCGCCAGAGATTTAAGCATTATTATCAGCCAATGTGATAATTAATTAAGCGGCAGACTGCTATGTGTAAAAAATCCTTGTCTTCCTGTGTAGTTACGTGGTTTAATCTATTACAATCACGACTTGCTCACATGTTTTTTTCACTTTTCATGGGTTAATCTCGTAGCTTCTCAAGTTACTACTTGATCTTGCCCAGCCTATATCTACCGCATTCTCTGTGTCAAGAGGTTGTTGTTAATCCTAAATAAGATTTCCTACTTTCTTTAAATCGATCATATGTACTTGTATTTCTTCTTTTCTCTCCCAGAATGATTGTGTCATGTTTAAATTTTCAGGTTTGGTTCAATTTGAATTAAAAATTGTTGGGGATTTATTCGGAGGAGAAAACCCGACATGAAGCCCAATAAGTAAGATAACACCCATCTGAACTCAAAAGCTCAAGCTAATGGGTTCTGAGTCCACCTTACTTATTAACTGATTCACATGTCATCATGCCTCCGATGTGGGATTCACAATTCTTGCCACATGACCCACAACATTCTCCCCCGTCATTGGCAATCTCCACATCGGGCTTCCAACTTATCTTGACAAGCCCAAATCTGTACTCCACCTGAGTAACTGGACCGCCTATCCCTACGTTTCCGCTCGTGGTGGGCCTTTGACTGCCTGTGTTCAGTCAGATCAACCAAGATAATTTGGGCTAAATCACCTACCCAACTGGCCCAACCTGGGCTCTGATACCACTGTTGGGGATTTATTCGGAGGAGAAAACCCGACATGGAGCCCAATAAGTAAGATAAGACCCATTTGAACTCAGAACCTCAAGCTAATGGGTTCTGAATCCACCTTACTTATTAACTGATTCAACCCCTTACTTGTACGTCCCGCTTCAACCCCCCCGCCCCTCCTCCCCCTTCCGACCAAAAAATGAAAATAAAAAATGACAAAATCCACATTGTTAGTTGTAAGTTATACTAAAAATGGTAAATGATTTTTTAAAGGACGGAAAGAGTATAGGTTATTCCCTCTAACCCAATATACATTTCGTCGTTTTTTTGTTGAGAGAGGGAGTAAAATTTAGCATGACAACGCAATCCCAGGTAAGGGTACTACAATAAGAGTAGTAACAACAAAACACATATTAGGCAAGAAAATGAAACTGTCCATGTTCGGATTTGGATCTAGGAAGGAACAACATCGATGTTGCTCCCAAAATATTTCCTACCTTTGGTTCTTCCATTCTGTGTTTTCATCATTTATCTTCTCAAATGGCTAAAACATTGTTCTTCAAACACCGCCCAAATGAACAACCTCCCACCTTCACCACCAAGACTGCCAATAATTGGAAACCTTCATCAACTGGGTCCCATCCCGCATCGTTCGCTAAAATCACTAGCTGATAAGTATGGTGGAGTGATGCTGCTTCAGCTAGGCAGTAAACCCACGCTAGTAATTTCTTCTGCTAACACAGCGGAAGAAATCAGGAAACGAGACCTCGATTTCGCGGATAGGATTCCTCTAATTGTTGCTGGAAGATTGAGCTACAACTTCAAGGATATGGCTCTTTCACCCTACGGGGAATATTGGAGGCAGCTGAGATTCCTTTGTGTGTCGCAGCTTCTAAGTAACAAACGGGTTCAATCATTCAGAAGCATACGTGAAGCCGAGATCGCGACAATGTTGGGAAACATAAGGGAATCTTGTGTATCATGTTCAGTCATATGTATCAGTGACATGTTAGCAACACTCAACAATAACATAGTTTCATTGGGAACCATAGGAAGGAGGTATTCCGAAGAGAAAAAAGGAAGTCAATTTATGGCTTTATTTCACGAGTGCTCCATACTGTGCGCATGTGTAAATATAGCTGATTTCATTCCTTGGCTTGGATGGATTAATCACATTAATGGGATGGAGTCAAAGGTGGCTAGGCTTGTCAAAGTAGTCGATCAATATTTGGAAAGTATTCTTCAAGAAGGGCTCCAAAGAAGGAAAGTAGTGAACACTGAGCAGCAAGGCCACCAAAATCTCTTGGATGTCTTGCTTAACCTCCAACATGAGAATACCAGTGGTTCGATTCTTGATCGGGATTCAATTAAAGCTGTCATACTGGTAATCTCCTTTTGATCCAAATTCATGTTTTGGATGTTTCTATATATGTAATCTTTTGTTTGTCAATAATGAATTTTAACCCCTATGAATTGTATCTCATATCTCACTTTGACCTTTTTTGCGGGCCCGTAATGTTTTCTCATCACATATTTCTTTCGTTCCAGAAAAATAGTACATAAAATTTCGAAATCTGTACTAAAACCAGTACAAATCTCCCAACTTAATATGAAGTATATTTTTTTTTTTTTGATATAGTGAGAGTAATCATTAACTCCGAATATTCTTATGTTTTTTGAAATATTTTTGCATCCAGAACATGATTGTTGGGGGAACAGACACAACATATGCACTTCTGGATTGGGCACTCTCGGAGCTTCTAAAGAATCCAAGTGCTATGACTAGGTTACAAAACGAGGTGAGACAATTCTCGGGTTTCAAATCAGATGGCATTATCACCGAGGATGATTTAGGGAAATTCCCTTATCTGAAAGCAGTTATCAAAGAAACTCTCCGTCTGCATCCTCCTGCTTCGATCCTTGTTCGGAAATCAAGCCAAGCGGTTAAATTTCTTGGGTATGATATTGAGCAAGGAACTCAAGTCTACATTAATACTTGGGCTATTGGTCGAGACCCACAACATTGGGAAAACGCTGATGAATTTCAACCTGAGAGATTCTTAAATAGCAATGTTGATTTTAAAGGGCAACATGCTGAGTTCTTACCTTTTGGTGTTGGTAGAAGAAGTTGTCCTGGTTCTGCTTTTGGCTTAGTCATAGCTGAACTAGCACTTGCAAATTTGGTTTGTCACTTCAATTTTTCTCTACCTAATGGGAAAAGATCCGAGGAACTAGATATGACAGATGCTTACGGTCTTGTGACCGTTAGGAAAAATCCTCTACTTCTTGTTGCAAGTGTTCCAAGTTAATTCAACCCCCGCCAGTGTATTTTATGTTTGTGCAATTTCTGTCACATATGCAACTGAATGAAAGTACATCTTATTTTAATGCATTCGACACTCTCAAATGATATCACTTTCAAGTGTAATTTCTTTGAAGCGCAGTAGTGCATAAATGTGAATTAATCTTGTTGTATTCCTTATGTCTTAAAATTATTGTCCGGTTTTAATTTATTTTTTGTCCACTTTGTATTAAAATTGAAAGTTTAAACTAGACACAAACAAAGTTGGTTTTCTTACGATATCTGTTATGTACAGTTGTTTGGCTAAGACAGACACGCAAACAAAGCTGTGTCCACCTACGTATGATGACGAGATATTAATTTTTCGTGAAAGCATCGCAACTTACACCCAAAAGTTTAATCAGATAAACTTTAGATTGTTTAACTTATTAGGTGATCGTTATTGCTCCAAATTTTTCAATGTGGCATGTTACACTATCCTGAACCCGGACATTAGTGAAAAGGGAAAATTATGACAAGAGGATCAGAAGCGGTCGCGCACATATATGACCCAAATAAATACTACTATTTAGAAATCTAAAAATAAAATGTAACATGCATAGCATGCCACGTACCGACCACTCATCTATATCATCATCTACAAACTAAATTAGGTTCAGTTTTCAGGTAAATGTGACAAAATTTATACGTATATCTAATAGTATTTCCAACCCCAAGCTGCTGTCATCAAGAACGTTAATGATTGGGTGACCATATGCGTGCACCACGCGATGAGGCCATGCTGTTGTAGAATTATTTCAAGATCCCAAGGTTGCGGGATAGTACTATTAGAGTATATAATAACCCACCATTTCCCGCATCCTATGCAATTTGATCATCCGAGTTTTCATAAGATCCATTCAGAATCGATTTACCTATTATTAAACTAGATATTGCATTGAAGTATTTGATATAAATTAATTACCGTATAGTTGCATGTGATGATGAATAGGACTGTTGTTATTAATTTATAATCTCATGGCCAGCAGATGGGCAAAGTCGTTTAAGCCCTTGTAATTCCTAACGAGCACACATGCAACTTGCAAGTACGGAACTAGTAATTTCTCCATAGTTCATAATTAATAACGTTGAGCTTATATCGAAAAGGTAGATCTAACAGCTTGAGATCAACGTTGTATAAATGTTAAACTACGAGAGAATGGCGATCGTGCGTTGTCAACATTGAAGAATCGAGTGAAGATTGTTGCTCAATTATGCAAAAGGAAAAATTACGGCTTGCTTGGGAATTTTTCTTCGAGAAAAGTTGTGTTAAAAGTCGATAATCAGAGCATCGTAACTATGATTTATGATCCTAAAGAGGTGGTAAGTGTGCATTTGGGTCTATAAACGGAAGAAAGAAAGTTGTTGCGAAGAAAATGGACAGTAGAACTGATACATAAATTTTGGAAGGCAAATTTCTTACCAGATCGTTTAGCTTCCTTGGCAGCAATTTCTTCTGCATGATATCAAAAACTGCTTTGTACCACTATCACAAGTATAATATCATTATTAGAATACGAGATTACCAGTACTTTTCACTTTCAGGGTATTATAATCTCTAGACTTTGTCACTTTTATTCTCCTGTCCCAAAATCAATACATCTTAATTAAGTTTCACGATACTACATGACCAAAAGGCTGCCATGCTTGATCTTATTTATTAAAAAGCAACCAATGGATGGATCATGGATGCATGGAAAATCCCTAGCTAACCGCCGGAGTTTTAGGCACGTTATGATCACTGGAATCTCAGAGTTGCACGATTCCATGCCAAGATTGAAACTTAAAGGATTTCTGTAACACAAAAAAAAAAAAAGAAAAAAGAAAAAAAGATATCTGTAAGACAGGTTTTTTATTTTTAATTTTTGGCTAGTTCTTACAGCTATATATGTCGCTGGATCCAGATTAACAAAGACCGGAAGGAGGAGGATGATTGGTAGCACTTGAGACCGTGATGGATTTTATTTTTTCAAAAAAAAGGAAAAAACAACCAAATTAAGTAAGCTACCTTCCACCTTCACATGCATGGCCCTCAATAAACTTTTGCATTACAGCTACTACTGTTTCGTCAAGAAAATAATTGTCCGGTTTGAAATAATACCAGCTAGACTAGCATCATTTTGGGAGAGAGAGTAGTAGTAAGACTACCATCATTTAATTGCTGATTGGAATCTATATATATAGCTGAAATGGAAGGAAATATTAACACAGATAAAGTGAGTGTAAATAAGCGAGAGATTAATAGAAGTGAAGATGGAAATAATATCAAAGGAGTTCATAAGACCCTCGTCTCCAACTCCATTTGAAAAGAAAGACCACAAACTGTCTCTTTTGGATCAGTTCTCCTCACATTATTTTATCCCTTTCCTTTTCTTCTATCCAAAACAGTCACCTCACTCAAAAGATGTCAATTTTGATGATCCTTCAAAAACGACCCTTTATTTAAAACAGTCTTTGTCAGAGTCTTTAACTAAATTCTACCCTTTAGCAGGCAAGTTGAACCCGAATCGCCGTGCTGTTAGTTGCGACGACTCTGGAGTACTTTTTGTAGAAGCTAAGTTTGATGCATCCCTCTCACAAGCAGTCCAAGCTGGCCCTTGTGAAAGTTTTTCTCAATACTTGCCATTTGAACCAGTTATTGGTGGCCGCGATGATAAACTATTACCATCACACCCAAAAGAACAAATAGTATTCGCAGTCCAAATCACTTGGTTCAGATGTGGAGGAAATGCTATTGGAGTATGTATGTCTCACAAAGTAGCCGATTTTTCATCTCTGGTGATGTTCCTGGATTCGTGGTCCGCCTTAAATCGCGGTGAAACTGTTGGATCAGTACCAAACTTTGATTTGGGGAGGAAAATTTTTCCCCCACTAGACCGTGATGTAGGCTTGCCTAATCTAGTCCGCTTAGAGGAGGACAGGAAGGTTGGGTTGAAGCGGATTGTTTTCGGCAAGGAGAAGCTACTAGAGTTGAAAAAACTGGCAACTTCATCCCACTCGCCGGCATCATCACCGGTAGTGAACGATCCCACTCGGGTGGAAGTGGTTACTGCGTTTCTTTGGAAGCATTTTATCAATGTGGAACGAGCTAAAAATCAAGGTGGTTGTGCTAAACAAATAATGTTCAACATGTGGCATGCTGTGAACTTGAGAAGTAGGATGAGCAAATTGGCTGCATCATCAATATCTTGTAATGGTGGTGGTGGTGACGACGATGATGATAGCATTAATGATCGAGGTGAGTTTCCTTTCGGGAACTTTGCAATTTCTACAAAAGCGTCATTCATCTCCAATGAGAATGATGAGGCGGGAGCCAAAGATTTCGGTGATCTGGTTAGGCTCACGAGTGACGCATTCAAGATTGTCAACGAGGATTTTGTTCTCAATTGTGCGGTTCCTTTGTTGAAAACCCTGGATGACAATAGAATTACGGAAATATTATGGCCACCAACAATGATGATGAGCCATAGCATGTTTACCAGTTGGTGCAGATTCCCTTTGTATGAAATGGACTTTGGTTGGGGAAAGCCCACAGCGGTTGGCGTTGCTGGTCAACAGAACCGCAATGTGGTATTCTTAATGGACACAAATGATGGAGAAGGAATAGAGGCATGGATGGCCATACCAGAAGACGACGAATTGACTTTGCTTCCGGACGACTTACTTTCAGACTCGCCTCCCATTGATCTTTTTTCATCTGCCTCATGAATGATCGTTGAAATTAGGAAATTTCTTTGCTTTTTTTTTTAATGTGAATTTCTTTTCTTTCTTTCTATATATAGATGTATAATAATTCGAAAAAGGCATGTTAACTTTGGAAAAGATTTTCAGCGACAATATTGTTTTGCACTCGATTGGCATTTGGTTATGGTGTTAATATTAATGATGATAATACAAGTATCAATCATTCATTATTATTAAACAATATTACGTAACACAAAAAGTGTCACATACGATTCATTGTCAATGTGACAGCTCCCGGTTTCCGCAATTTAATCATGATATATGAATTATTCACTCTTCTTAATCATGATTTCTGAATTATTTACTTTTATTTACAATTCTATACGTGCCATTATTAACCTCTCTCACTATACTGTATATGTACAGACATACAACATTGCCGAAATGTTTCTTCTTTTCTCAATACGACGAAAAGATGGCAAAATTTTCTTAAAGTTCAAACAAGAGTAAAAATCCCTAAAATCCAGCTCATCATTTGGGAAAAATCTATGGACGACCCCATAGTGTCATAATTTACGAATAGCATCTCTCATCTTCTGGAATTACTTCGAAAGTGTTGGGGATTTATCTGGAGGAGAAAATCCGACATGGAGCCCAATAAGTAAGATAAGACCCATCTGAACTCAAAAGCTCAAGCTAGTGGGTTCTGAGACCACCTTACTTATTAACTGATTCACATGTCCTCATGCCTTCGATGTGGGATTCATAATCCTTGCCACATGACCCTCAACGGGCAATCTCCACATCGGGCTTCCAAATTATCTTGATAAGCCCAAATCTGTACTACACCTGAGTAATTGGGCCGCCCATCCCTACGCTTCCGCTCGTAGTGGGCCTTTGACTGCCTGGGTTCAGTCAGATCAACCGAGATAATTTGGGCTAAATCACCCACCCAACTGGCCCAACCTGGACTCTGATACCACTGTTGGGGATTTATCTGGAGGAGAAAATCCGACATGGAGCCCAATAAGTAAGATAAGACCCATCTGAACTCAAAAGCTCAAGCTAGTGGGTTCTGAGACCACCTTACTTATTAACTGAGTCACATGTCCTCATGCCTTCGATGTGGGATTCATAATCCTTGCCACATGACCCTCAACATTCTCCTCCGTCATGGGCAATCTCCACATCGGGTTTCCAAATTATCTTGATAAGCCCAAATCTGTACTACACCTGAGTAATTGGGCCGCCCATCCCTACGCTTCCGCTCGTAGTGGGCCTTTGACTGCCTGAGTTCAGTCAGATCAACCGAGATAATTTGGGCTAAATCACCCACCCAACTGGCCCAACCTGGGCTCTGATACCACTGTTGGGGATTTATCTGGAGGAGAAAATCCGACATGAAGCCCAATAAGTAAGATAAGACCCATCTGAACTCAAAAGCTCAAGCTAGTGAGTTCTGAGACCACCTTACTTATTAACTGATTCACATGTCCTCATGCCTTCGATGTGGGATTCATAATCCTTGCCACATGACCCTCAACAGAAAGAAGTCTTAAAGATCACATTAGATCGACTGTCGTGAAATGTTTCATTTTTTGAGTGGAGATACTGAATAGTGGTCGACTCTGAGATGTGATACAGTAACGGAACCTATCCAAATCTAGAATTCAAATAAATAACCATAACACAAAATTAACCAGGAACACCTAAATGGTATCTTTCCGTTGATTGATGTATGAATACTCGCAAGCGAGCTTCCTAAACACTGTTAATTAGACCCGTGAATACTTAAGGCATAAAAAAATTCCACCAACAAATGGGACCGTAATTTTGGCAAAAAAAAGAATGATCTCAATTTTATAAATTCAACATTTGGGTTAGAATTACAGCCGATCTTCTTAAAAATAAAAATAACGTAAAACAAAACCCTCCTCATATCAATAATAAATAAAAGATAGAAATAACCCTAAGAACTAAAAGCCCTAATCAATCTACACCATCCATCAGGATGAAATTAATCATGATATATAAAGATTTCTAAGTTTTTCCTCTTCAATTCTAGGCGCCGTTTTATATATTCCCCGCCCAATCCCATTGATTTTTTCGACTATACTTATATTTTGTGTCATACATCCACAATTTTATATACCTGCCCAAACACCTTAAAAAGCTAAAAATTTGGATAGATTGCAACCCGATGTTTTGCTTGACTCTATGCATCAATAATCACTTGAAAAATCATTGAAATTAAGAAGATTTTTTTTTTGATTGACTAATTCATATGAATATTCCTGTTTTGGATTGTAAATGCATACTATGTTCTCAGGTAGATGAGTTTGTTAGATATATATTTTTTGAATGTAGTTTTGCTTCTGGTTTGTTGGGTAAGATTCAAGATTGGTTGGGAAACAGGAAAATCTCTTGTGGACTGGAAAGTTGGTAGTTGCAGGTTATCAAGCTTTGGCAAGGGAATGGCATGAAACGGAGGGTCTTTCTTTCTGTGTTAGCTGCAACTATTTACCCTATCTGGGAAGGAAGGAACAGAAGGTTGTTTACTGGAGTTGTAAGGACAGTGGAGGATTTATTTGGACTGATACAAAATGAAGTAAAGATCAGATTATGGGGAAAACAGAGGAGAGCATGGACTACAGGAGAAGAAAAAGTGCTGCAAATATTCTTTAAGTAGGCTGTTTTGGTAGATTGAAAACTTTGTCGTAACCGTTTGTAAATAGATAGCTGATAGTAGTGATCAGGTAGTAGTGTAAGCTTTGCAAAGTGGTCACAATTGAGCTCTTCTATCATTAATATATTGTTTACCTTTTACCCAAAAAAAAAGATGTATTTTTTTTATTTTATAAAATCAAGAGTTTTGATATTTGTGAAGAAGTATAATACAACCTTATCCGCCAATTCTCCTGCATGCATGGAAGATGAAGAGGTCTTGCAGGGTTTCGATCGCAGGACCACATGATTTGTCCAATGATCACGTGCTCAGCAACGTAGGAGCTCGTTGGAAGCTTTTAAAACAACTCCTTGAATGGTAAATAGAGCTTATTTGAGTCGGCAATCTTTCTCTATAAATATAGCAGTTTAGGATAGATTTTATTTAAGCTGAAATACACTTTGTAAACAAAACATTTTTCTCCTTATCAGTAAAACAGAAGAAACTCTCGAAAGTTGCTTTAATTCTTGATACTTCTTGCTTTATGAGTGATAATTCCTTCATGATTCTTGACTGTTTCTTGAATGATTATGGATTATCTTTACAATTTTTTAATTATATCAGAGCAGGTTTGATCCTATTCTGTTTTTCCGTTGAAGTAAAACTCTAATAATCGATTTAAAGGTCACGAAATTTCGGGAAATCAAACCCTAGGTTCTCACATTAAGAAGAATCCTCACTAAAGTAGAAATTTTTATGTTAATTGAAGATGAATGAAGCAATGCGTACGCGTGAAGTGATGAATGAAAAAACCAGAAGAGAATTGGATGCCTTGGTTGAAGAATAGTTGCAGGTTCACGGTTCGGAGAATCCAGGAACTCCGCTTGTTTCTGTACTGCTAAATGATAAGAACCAACTCATTTGGAAGAATGCTATGGTTCTAGCACTTCAGGCAAAGATGAAATTGTGTTTTGTTGATAGATCATTTCCAAAGCTGCCTGAAGGAACTTTGAAGTGTATACGTTGGGATTGGGCAAACAGTATGGTTTGCTCCTGGATTAAAAGCTCAATTTCACTAGATCCGGTAAACATGTTTATGTTTATTCATGATTCAAGGATTTTATGGAAACAATTGGAGAAGAGATATGGTACAATTACTGCACGGCAATTGTTTGAATTAAAGCGGCAGAAGACGTTGACTAAAAAAGGAAGTTCTTCAATACCAAATTACTATTGTTGACTACAACAACTCTGGGATCAGTATGATTAGTTACGTTCACTGCCAATGATTGAACGAGCTGTTGGTGAATTTGCCAGAATCAGAGAAGAATAAGACATGTCTATTGAGTTATTGATGGAGCTCAATGATATGTATGAAGCAGAAAAGAATCAAATCCTCTATATGTGATGAGTGTCAATCTATGCATGTTTTTAGACACATAATTTGCCTCTTTCTACTTAGTTTTTAGGTGAATTAGACTAGTATTTTATGTTTATAGGTTAAGTTGGTGATTTTTTGTGATCTATGGACTTAATTACAAAATCAGTAAAAAGGTGGTCAAAATGTGACAGAATGGTGAAGTTTAGGGCGCAATTGAAAGTGGCTAATTGGACTGAAGTGCAAGGGCAGAAGTGAGGTTGAATCTGGAGGGAAGAGGAGCCGATTGAAGGCCAGACTGAACCAAGACTTCAAGGCTAAGGAAGAGGAGAAGGTGGTGAAGTGATGCTGCTGACGAGGGATGAGCTTGATGTGCATTAAAGTTGAATTAGAGCAACCAAATCCTCTCCAAAAGATGATTAGTGGTAAGAGGGAAGTTGAGAAAGTATGGGTGTCCTCTCTTTTGCTTAAACCCATCGGGTAAAGAGGAGACCAACTTGGCTAAGCAAGATTACTCCCCCCCCCCCTCCCTAGCCTCTATATAAACCCGCAGTAGCAGAAGAAGAAGGCAACAAGAGTTAGAAGATGAGAAGTTAGAGTTAGCTTAGTTCAGTAGCTTAGAAACAACATAAATCTGGAAAGCAGACTTAGGGGTGTCCCTTGGGGCAGTGAGAATCTGACTCTGCGAAGTCAGCTGCACTTTACCACACTCTCTGACTTTGTTTTTCCCCTGTTCTCTACCTTTTCTGTTGTAACCATGGGGAAGTCTCTCCACCTTGATTCTATAGTGTTTGAGCTTCTTACTATGTGTAGCTAAACTCATTTATAGGGTCTAATCACTCTACTCTATATAAGTATGTTTTGACTCGAGCTCTCGGATGATATTTGTGTGCTTAGTCTTAGAATTTTCATTATCCTTTTAGTTGAATTGACCACTTAACTAATTCTTCTTGCATGTTAAGGGAAACCTGTGAGGGTAAC